CGCTCTGCGTATTAATATTATAAATGTGTGCGAGTGCGTAGCAGTGGTAGCTGTCCAATGCCGCGCGCACTTACATTATAACTACAAAAGGCAAATTGATGTCATAATCAAGCCTCCTTACGTTTAATTATATTTCATTCGGCGAATATGCGAATACGCGCTCGCGTGCGGCCACAGACTGGACAAACGCACACACAGACATATTATTATCGTACGCGCCACACAGTGCGCATTCGAATCGCTTGTTTAGAAATGTACAATAAAATCTTCTTACGGGCTGAGCGCGCCGCAGTAGTAGCTGGTCTTAATTGGCTATTTCTATGCATATTTATGCATATTCATTCACGCGCTGTAACGAGCTTCGCGCTATACAGCGTTCGATAAGACCGGCCGCTGCTCTAGGGTGTAGCTGTGGAACGATCGGGTGGTGGAAAAGCTCTCGAGAGCGATAAGTACGTGAGTCTGCTAGCTCTGCTGCGACGCCATTGTGTCAAATTTTGAAAAACAGCATCGTTGTATACATTGTACGTATAGCAGGGCAAAAGGGCTTACAGAGCAGGGCTTTCCAATTTAATAATCGCGTATCGAGAGCACACTCGACGTCTCCGATGCTGCTACCACTCTCGAGTCGAGCCTGTTATATTATATTCTCTCGCTATCTTTTCTCTCGCTGTACATGCTAGCCGCTGCGTAATGTACGTCCTGACGCAGGATAGTGGATATAATTGATGGTACGATTCATTTGTAGCTCAACTTTGGACGTGCGGATCCTGTGACGTGCGCGCGCGAGCAGTATTATTGCGCGCATTATACAGACGTGTGCTATAACGAGTCGACGATTCGTGAATCGAATGAATAAGCCGCACAGCGCTCGCATATATAGGGCAGATGTGTCTACGGGTAATGTGCTTTAGGATGAGAGTAGAGGTGCTTAGCATTTTTCAAGTTATTAAAATCGAATTATTTTATAGTTTGTAATTACTATTCTTTGCGCGCGGCAAGTACCCACCGTCCAGTGTCGAGAGTATTAAACACGATCCGCGCACTCTTACGAAGAGGAAGGAAATACATTTATAAGAGCCTGAAGGAAAGAACCAGATATACAGTCAACGCAGCGGCAACAAAAGTTTATAATGAGAATCGAGTAAAAATTGCTCGCTCGCCCAGAAGAGTCATTAATGCAAGCTGCTGTTGCTCCTGTTTGCCAGTCGTTTTATATGTATGGCAAATACCTAGTGTATGTATACTGGTGGCCAAGTAAGGAGGAGAGAGAACAAGCGAGCGAGGATGAGAGAGAGAAAGAGGAAGCATTAAGACCCGAAAAAGAATACGCGATGCATCTCCTGTCATCTGACTACCGAAGCAGAGCACACACAGACACACGTTAGCATACATACGTGCTCTGTGTGTTTCTCTCTGTCTCTACCACTCGTTTCAGAGAGAGAGAAAGAGAGAGCAACCCTCGTCGGACGAAAGAATACGCATTAATTTATATCTGCATTCATATACGTAGTCCATGTGTGTGTGTGCTTGTGTGCGTCTGTGCCTTACATGTACGTACACATACGCGCGTGCATGACATTGTATTGTTATGATAATAAGCCTCGCTCGCGGCGGCGTGCCTCGGTCAAACCTCAGAGAGACAGATAGATCCAATATATATATATATGAACGGAACGGAGCATCATCTTTTTTAACTATGTGTATAATACCTATAAAACATTACTTTGAGTCTCGGCATAGGTACTATACGTATACCTTCGCGTACGTACATACGTGCCCGTAAGCTATATAAATGCGAACGTGTTGTTGTTACATTACGCGCTCGCATTCTATATGTACTTTTAGGTACGTGCGCGCTAGGCAAATACAAGATAAATGAGCCCTGGCTGGCTGCTGATGCTGTTGCCTCTGCTTTTTATTCATCTTTGATTCGGCTCGGCTCGAGACGTCGTACGTAGTAGTCGACGTCGCGCCGTCTCTAAGTACGTTTATGCACTGTACTACTATAGACTTGTTACAAGCAGCCGCAAGGATGGGAAATTAACATAGTTTTTGTGCATAGACAGAGAGAAAACGATGCAAGCTGTGCGCCGTACCTTTAATATAAGGTGTATACATGTAAGCGCGAAAATCACATGATATAATGAAGCGTGATATTGTTCTATCTCTACCGAAGCGAGCGTTCGCGTAATTTTTTTTCCTTTATTTCGTTATTTATTGCCCAGTTCGCAAATCATACGCTTGCCTTAACGTTTGCTAAATTGCCGTGATGTATGTACCTACCTATGCCGAGTAAGCTGCTAAACTGTGCTCGACGCGAAAAATTACCCGCGCACATAGAGGCATATACTTAACAGCTAGTAGTAGTAGTCTGTCTGTCATTCGGATGCAGAAATATATAGCCGGTGAAAAATTAGCAGTGCGAATCGCTGCGATGTATAAATAAAATATATATGTGCCCTATGCGCTCAGACTATGGTGGATAGATGGTGCATTTAATAGAGTTTCTATATCATTGCTGCTGCTGTTGCTGCTGCTGCCGCCGCACGATGCACCTGATGGGAAAGCGAGGGTTGCACCTTTTCCGCGTCGCGCATCTGTTGTACTCGCAGCACACATCGTGAAGCGCCCAGTAGTGCATGTATCATGGTGTAGCAGCTTAGCTTCCGCTAAAATAGCAGCAGCAGCAGCAGCAACAGCAGCAGTATATAATATGCTAATTACGTCACTTGCATGTAAGATTGGTAACTTTGTTTTTCTCACATTACAATGCTGCAAGTGGGGTATTTTCGAAAAATTATAAAAACAAAAAAAATGAGTTCTATTTAGATAGAAAGAAAAAAAGAGAGTTTCAGGAGAGAGAATAGGTTCACGAGTTTTTGCTGATGCTTCTGCTGCTGCTGTCACACACGTCAAGCGCTCATATACGCTTGTGCTCGTGAGAAGATAAATTTTTTGCCCGAAGTCTGTGCACGCAGCAGCAGTAGCGGTATCGCGCGCAATTGAAAAGACATGACTCTAGAATCGAATTGTGTGTGTACACGTAATATAAGGGCTGCTCCAAAAACGTCGACGATTCGAGTCGAGGCAAAAGCAAGCGAGCGAGTGAGAGAAAAGAATGAACCCGCATGACGGATTCGTCGAGCGCGCGATGACATAGGAGGTGAAAAAAAATCAAATCCTCCAGTCGACACCTCAGATTTCTATCTTTCTCTCTCTCTCTCTTTGCCTCGAGTCCTTCACCCTTGGTATGGGTGTACGCGCGCGCGCGCGAGCGAGCTTGTACTCGGCATATAATACTGTATGCTTATATATACCTTCATGGTAAAAGTCTTGGCTCTTTGAACTCTCTGTTGCTGCTGCTTCATCGGCCGTCGCTGTCGACTTCATGGCCACATGTGTACGTGTATATATATAAACTGCAACCCTGCGCGCGCGATCTTATCGACTCAATCTATCGTTTTTATTTATTTATATTCGCTGCTACTATATGCTCGTTGAAAGGTTTACTGTGCGACGACGACGACGACGACGACGCAGCGTCGCGTGGCCTTACATATCTTCAAGACCTTTAAGGACCTTCGGAGTAAAGCTGGGAACTATTTGAGTTACGCGCAAGTTGAGTTTTATTTAAGCGAGTTCGCGATATAAGTACTGCTTTAATTACAGTATTTTTTGGCAGTATAATTCCAGTTGTGAAAATTGTCAGAAAATGGGAGGGTACTTGGACCGAAAGAGTAGTAAATATTTGTGGAGTTTTAAAGAAGTCGATTAGGACAATAAGAGTTAAACTATGCACTCCGCAGAACTGTTACTGCCATATAAATGGGTTCGAAAAAAACCAAAACAATGAAACAAAAGTCCTCATCAGCATAGGAGCTTAAATGGCTCGTTGACACATCGCAAGTACAATATTATATATCCAGCATGATATCGCGAAAGGGTAAAAATGCAGCGACGAAAGCAGTGTATCTCTCGGAAGCTGAAAAAAAAGGAGGGAAGAAAAAGGTTTCGAAAGCCGGTGCTCGGGTTTTATTCGCGCGCACTGCATCCCTGGTATCGTATGTGTGTGCGTATACGTATCGTGCTGAGCGTGCATCGTCGCGCAAACGTAAAAGCATGAACCAGCAGCAGCAGCCGAACAGGCATACTAGGTACGCAATAGAGTGCGGTACACACACACACGTACAGAGGGGTTGCTGCTTGGCATGTACCTGTGAGAGGGGGCGAGTCTTCGGGCAGGATCGCGCGCTTGCGCGTTACGTATCCTTCGTTCGGTTGGCAGCGCACCAGCAACAGCAATAGCAGCAGCAGAACTAAAGAGCCAAAGAGAAAGAGACAGAGAGAAAGCCCACCCCACCGCCACGATCTCTTAACGGAGGTTGCTGCAGCAGCGAGTCCTTTCCCGCCACGGAGCGCCGCCACCACCGCGGCGGCTGTCGCTGTCGCTGTTGCTGCTGCTGCTGCTGCTGCTCCAAGAGCCCGATATATATAGATATATGCATGCCCACGACTTTTGCACGTAAGCCATTCGTCGAGGGTCTGCGAGTGCAGCCGAGCGCTGCCGATCGTTTTCGGCTGTGTTCGGGCGCCGCATACACACACACACACACACTCACACATATAGTCGTACACACGGACACGAGATCGGAGCGCGCATGTAGTATATATATACGCGCGTTCGGCGCTGGCTGTAGCAGCGCCGCTGATATTAAGCCGCCGTCGAGGCAGCAGCAGCAAAAGCAACAGCCTATAGGACGGGACAAAGAACGACGACGTACAAACACGAGCGTGTGTGTGCTTGTGTATGTGTGCGCTTGGCATCGGCAGCAGTGACGGCGTGTGGTTGCTGGCTGTATACACACACGGACAGCGGCACACACTCGCACACAGACAGCCAGCAGGCGTGCGTGTGTGCGCGTGGGTAATGCTTCTCTCTCTCGACAGCCCCTGCTGGAAGCATCATCCGCGCCGCACACTAGTAGTATACACACAACTCGGCAGAGAGACTGAGCGAGCGCGCGCGCGGGCCAGACACCGCTCCTCCCTGCGCTGCACGATCGCAAAAGAGCCTGCTGCCTCCTCGTAAAACTCTCTGAAACGCGCCACGCTGTTTTCAGTGCAACGACAAAAAAGACTTTGTATATTTTTATTTTCCTTCTAATTTCTCTGTCGATACCGTTATCGGAGGGTGATTGTGTGAGTCTCCTCTCTGTTTTGATGCCGATCTTACGTACGTGCCCGTAGCCACAGCCGAAAGTCCCGAGTGACTGAGAATGCTTGAAAGTACGTAACGACGATCGACACGACAACAAAGTTGCAAACGCAAAACAAAAAATTGTTTTCATCATTCACTGGTTATCACAAAGTGCAAGTGTGTGTCTGTGAGTGTCTCGTGCTCTCTGTTCTTAGGATATGTATATACGTAAATATATATGCGTACATGAACGTCCACGCTGTCAGTAGTATATACCAGTTTACGTCCAGTATATCTATTTGCAATCACGTTGACGAGCAACCAAAGGTACAAACATCAAATTTACATACAAAACAAAATTAAAAGTGCGAATACATGCGTCGTCCCGATTCGATTTTCCCTGCAGCAGCGTACCTTGGTTCGCCGCTGCCCCGAAAAGTCGTAAGTAGTCGTGTGCGACTCCGAATTTTTTTTCGGTCTAGTGCAAGTGGATGCTCCGATGCTTTTTTTTGCTTGTTTCAAAGTGATGATTTTTGCATTTTCATACGAGTGTGGCTTTCGATGATGATGATGATGATGATGATGATGATGATGAAAAAGACATGTGCACGAACAGACTCTGTCTCTCATGTACATGTAATCGCGACGTGCCGTTGCAGATTTGTAGATGAAAATAAAAAGTGCGAGCAGCAGCAGTGTGCGTCTGCATGGGTCTGTGTTGTCCCCAAAAGTGCTCCGATAGTCTGTATCAGTATAAAGAATTATTTTCAATTTAGCACCGATGCATTATTGTTTTGCAATTGAGTTTTGAGCCGGTAGTGTGTGCCCTGTACATGCACGAATGCGCTGCCGATATACCGCTGCCGTAGGGAAAAGTTACTTTCGCTTTCGCATCCGAGTGTGTGTGTGTGTGTGTGTGCGCGCGCTCGTATATGTGCGACCGTATATACATGCACGAAATTTGCAGTGTACAGTACATGGTCCACACACGTACGCCCGCCCTCCCCACCACCCCCACGGAACCGTCGAATTTCCTTGCATCCTGTAATGCTATATAACTAGTGCTTGTGTTTATGTGTATATGTGTGTGTGTGTGTGTGTGTGTACTGCAGCTCGCACGACGCCGTCTTATATACATATAAATATACATACACATACACGCAAATAATAGGGCTTCAATGCGTGCCTTGCTCTTATGTGTAGCATATATATGTATGTATTTTTCGTGCGGAAAAAGAAATTCGAATCGGCGGTGGCGCGTCTCGTTCTCTCTCTTTCTCTCTCTGAGTCGTTGGTCTCCGTAGCCAACGATCGACGCTCGATGAATAAAAATGCATTGAACGCGCGAGACTACTACGAGTAACAACTAACGACGACACGACTGAAACGAAACCATTGTGTATATATACATATAGATAGACGCACACAGACGCGCACACACATAGGAACGTCGAGCAGAGAGTTTCCTTCGCGCATAAAAGCGTCGTCGAAGCATTGGGTAGTTTTTTTACTGTACAATGGACGTTTTTTTAACGTGTCTGCTTGAGCGTCTCGCGCGTACACAGCGAGAGAAAGAGAGTGAGTGAGAGAGAAAGAAAAGGCAAAAATGCGAAAGAAAGCATTTGCGCGTCGCGATATTTATTTGTCGAATCGATTGTACCGTAGTAGCCAGCGGCTATTATCGTTATCGAGGAAAAATAAAGTTCATATATATAAATGTATCTGCGCTAAGAGCACAGGCCGCTTTAAGCTTTGAATCAAGTCTCTCTCTCTCTCTTTCTCTTTATATATATACGCAAATATATAGTTAAAGCGTCATATCTTTCGACAGCTGTATGTCGATGACGATCGGCCGTCGTCGTCGATGTCAAGTACTTGGGTTGCACGTATTATACCGTAGTACCATATAGTGTTGTTTATTGGAATCGCCGCGCTACCCTTTCGCTCGCATCAATCGCGCTTGACACTTATATTCTCGAGTAGTGCAATGTAAACAAAACAACTACATGCGTAAACAAAATACCTATTCGTCGTTGTAGTCATCTACTTCTAGTTGCTTCCAATTTTTTTTAATTAAGTCGCAATAAATATGCACTAATAATTCATGCTCGCTTGGGCTCTTTAGCTCTCGATTGCGACCATTATTAACGATGGGCGCTCACGATGCAGCCATGCAATATAGCTGCTCGCTCACTCGCTTGGCGGCGGCCGATCAAGCGCGATCACGAAGAGATCGTTATTGTTGTTGTTGTTGTTGCTGTTGCCGTTTGAGCCGCGCGCACGGCATAAATACGTTTTACAAGAGAGATAGACTTTCGCTGTGCGCGGCAGAATCGAGCCGCAGTCGAGCACCGAAACACAATGCCCATAATTCTCTCTCTGTCTCTCTCTATTTCCAAAGCGCCCAGTGCCTTTGATGCAATGTTTGATAAGCATAATTTCGCGAAATTTATATCTCTTGCGCCGAGTGTGCGAGCGAGCGAGAGAGAGAGAGAGACGGAGAGCCAGAGAAGCGAGAGCAGCAGCGATCGAGCCGAGCGATTAGAGGAAATCGAATCGTTATTTCTTTATGTATAGCGAATGAATAGAACAACGGCGAAACGGCTGCTGCTGCTGCTCTCTTTCTCTTTTTCTTTCTCTCTCTCTCGCAAATCGATGTGTGTTAGTAGTAGACGTAGGCCTAGCAGTATTAGTAGTAGTCGTCGCCTCCGAGTCCTGAATTATATTCGTTTCGGCATCATCACGGAGGCACCAATCCAGGCCGCCTTGGTCTGCTGCTGCTCGGCTCTTCTGCTGCCTCTTCTTCTTCGCCGTCTTTGGCTCCGTTTTCGCGACGCGCGTTTCTTTTACGTCGGTGTGCGCGCTGCTGCTGCTGCTTTTTCTTCTTTTTTTCTTTCTTTCGCTTCTTCTTCTTCCTTTTTTTTCGCCTTTTTCTGCTTATTTTTTTCGTTTGTCTTTCTCCTTCATCCTTCGCTCGTTTCTTATCCACCGCTCGCGAGCCGAGCCGAGAGCGCGCCGCGTATGTATCGAAGCCGCGAGATTTTGGCCGGTTTCTCTCTCTCTCTCTCTCTCTCTCTCTTTCTCTCCTCGCTCGAGTCTGTGCCGCGTTTGTGTATGTTTGCGTCCGTTGTATGTGTGTGCATATATATGTACAACATCGGATCGAAAACCTGTGCTGCACTAGTATATAGTGAGTCGCGAGATTCGCGAGGCCTCTCAAGTTAAGATTTACGGGCCAGCGCGGCAGCGACCGCGCACAACGTGCTGCTCTCTTTCTTTCTCTCTTGCGCTCGCAAAGAACCCTTCGGGCTACTCCAAATGCACCTTTGTGTATCTATATACGGCAGCAACTATATACAGATATTGTTACTGCTGCTGATGCACCGTCTCGCGTTGTTACTGTTTGGTTCGTTGTTCTTTTTCGACATTTTTCCTGTCTCTTTGTTTTTCGGCTTTGCGGCACTTGACTCCATATTCTCGCTTTCTTTATACACATTATAGCGTATACGTTCTCTCCTCTCTTGTTTTCGGACTCGCGACGCGCGCAATATTCGTGCTTATATTCGCGATGCCCGTACATGAATTCGCTCGATACACACAGCTCAGATGTGCATCATTTTATATCCATGCCAAAGTGGCGAGCAGCAGTAGCGGCAGCGGGTCGAACGTGTCGTGTTATATATAAGAGTCGCTGCGCGGCGCGAAGAGGCCGCATTAATCTATACGGTTTAGCGGAGCAATCTAAATCTACGCGAGCTTATACATACGTGCATGTATGCGTCTATATACCCGCACATTTATGATCAACTGCGGCGACAGCGGCCCGGCAAATCATCATCATCATCATCCTCGTCATCGTCGTCGTGCGTAGCCGTCGTTGCTCCTCATTGTTGCGCGACGCAATTTTATATCATTTCCGATATATACCTATACCGCGTATATGCAGTCCTGCCGAAGTACGCAGTACACGCTGTCGCGCATAATGTACCGTTTGCTTCGGTTTTATATATTTTTTTTATTCAAAAATCAAAAGCGTTTGAAATTACTCGCGGTTTTACGAATTCCGTCGTTTGCATTTTGCAAAAGAATAAAAAAGCACGCGTACGTACGAGAGTGTGCGGGTGGACACGCTATATATTTGTTTGGTTCACGCACAAAAGAAACATTTCGGTGTTCGCGAAAGAGAATGAGAGAGAGAGAGACAACGCCATGGGATGTGTTTGTATGTGCAAGCAGAGAATTAAAGCTGCGCGCATGCGCCTGGCTCTCGCAAACTCACAAACACATGCATGGCAAAAGCCGTAGAAGCAACACACACAGCCATACGTATTCGCGCAAGCAAGCAAACACACACAGACACACACACACACACACACATTTGCACAAACTGTATTCTTGCTATATGTGTGTGCGTGGCTCGCTCGCGGGACCTTGAATATCGCCAGGCCAGGCCTTTGTCGCCCGCGTGCGCGCGAGTACGGCCACGAGGCCGCGGCGAAAGTGTACCCGAGAGAGAGAGAAAGAGAGAGAGAGGTTTTTTTGTTCAACAGCAGCACGAGCGCGTTTGTCTTTTTTCATTATTCTCTTTTTTTACTGCGGCTGCTGCCGCTGCTGCCGCCGCCGCTGCCGCTCTGTTGCGCTGCAGTTTCGCTCGTGTTCTTTTCCCTTTTTTCCTCTTTCCCTTTCTCTCTCTTGAATTTTTTCTCTCTTCTCTCTCTCTCTCTCTCTCTCTCTCTTCTGTATACTCGTTCTTGTTTTTGGTTATGTATATGTGTGTGGATGTGTGTAGGAGCAACAGCAGAGAGTGCAGCAGCCTTCTACAATTTCTTCTCTGCCTCTTTCTTTCATTCTTTCTTTCTCTCTCTCGCTCTCTCTCTCTCTCTATCTCTCTTTCTTTCTCCTATATACTTTGTCCGCGTGTAACGCCGGAATTAGCCAGAGAAAGGGACAAGGGCAACACTCGGAATAGCGATTTTGTGTGTGCAGGGCTTATACGCTTACTTTTTCGTTTTCTTTTTACCCCTTTCCTTTAATATCATCTCTTTTTCGCGTGCATGTATGAGAAGTAGACTCGATCCGTTACCCATTACCGCATAATACGATGCCATTTTCGGAAATTGCACTCAGCCGCTCGGCAGGCGCGAGGCAATCTCGAGTCTCTTTCGTGCCAGCATTATACGTTCTCATGAATTTTTGACTCGTCTTATAGGTATGAAAATTCCCGTGTGTGCTGTATGCAACGCGACCAAGTGAGCCGTCACCGCCGCACCGCGGAATAATCATTATTGTTATAGCTACGTTGTATATAAACTTGAAACATTATAATATCTCGTTAAAACGATCGAACTTCTACGATTTGTTTTAATTTTATTCTCATCGATTTTGCCGAACGAAAGAGAAAAGAGAAAGAGAGAGAGAGAGAGAGGCAATGCAACATCAACTTACTACACACATAAGAGATACCAAAATGCAAAAGAAAAAAGTAACGAAAAATTGTTAACATCGTGCCTTCCACGAAAGTCACGCGTATGCTTCCGAGAAGTTTGTAGTAGTAGCGCAACGTACACATGCATTTCGTTGCATACTCACGCACACGTACGAGGCAAAACTTCGTGCATGTGTGTGCTCGTGTATGTGTGAGGGACCGAGAAAGAATCTTTCTGGCGAACTGCTGCACAAGAATCTCTGTAACGTTCTCAAGCTGTACACTTGTGTGTAGGTGATGTGTATACGTGTGAGTGTATCTGTTGCAGTAGAGCTGCTGCTGCTGCTACTGCACAGTGCACATGTCTCGTAAATGCGCGCGTGCACGGCAAAAGGTTTAATATTATGCACGTTTCAAAAACTACAAGTCTGAACCTTTTTTTCGTTTTCTTTTCTTTATTTGAACGTTAACTCGAGTCCGTCGCGCAACGCATCTATTTTGAATAATTCATTATGCCGAAGTCAATTAGAAACAGGTAGTCGTAATGAAATAAAAAAAAAGCTCTTGAAAAGATGTAAAAGAGTTTGGCGAGCTTGCGCTGAATAGTACATCGAGCAGTGTATGAAAGCGCGTCGGATACGCTCGCTCGACCTTGCTCTTCGCGTGCGAAACACGTGGAAAAGCCGGCCGGTCTTTCTCTCTCTCTCTCTCTCTCTCTCTCTCTTTGCCGTTCTATTCCATGCGCGCTGCGCATATACACATACACGGGCTCGCTCGTACTGCACACACAGCCAAAGCTCCGCAGAGCACTATGTAGGGAGAGAAAGTGTCCGACTCTCGGTGCTCGCTCGTGTGCCGCAGCGAACTTGCGCGCAAGTAGCACCGGCACGAGCGAGCGATAGCGAAAGCCTAGATAGTTTCTGCGCAGCTGTAAAGCTATTTCCAGCCGCCCCTGCTTAGCAGTAGCGGCGGCAGCCACCCGCTCGCCCGCTCTCTCACTCTCCCCCATGTACACTGCCACTTCTCGCGTGCGCAGACTTTCTTCTTCGCAGGGGAGCTGCTGCTGCTGCTGCTGTAGGAACGCCGAATTCACGCGAAGCTGCAGCAGCAGCACCGGCGGCGACGGCAGAGGCAGTGAAAGCGAGAGTCGAGCCGCAACACTGCACGAATGGGAGAAAGAGATATATAGAGCTTGCATGCCCACCCATGGTATACGTGCATGAAGGAGAGAAAGAGAGAGAAGCTGACGATCGATATTTTAACTGAAAGTCGACTTTTCGTCGTCGTACTCTGCTACCGCTCTCGCATGTTCTTATACAGCATGGCTCGCAAAATAAAATGTAAAAAATCCTAAATTCAAATGGAGCCACAGCGTCGATGGAATAAAATGCGCTTTGCGTTTTAGCCATGACGCTTGTGCGAATACTTACTGGCTGATGTGTGTCCGTATATACGTATAAAAAAATCGAGTAATAGTAACCTTGACGACGACGACGAGCACAAGAGGCACTGCTGCGCCTTATAATACGTATACGTACGAAAGAGATCTGTGCCAAGATTTGCGCCAGGCATTAAAGGTCCAATATGCGCGCAAGCTTGCTGTCGTCATCGTTTTGTTGTTGCCTTTACTCTCTCGCGTTTCACGAGAAAGTACCCGAGTATGTGTGCGTGTGTCTGCTGCTGCTGCTGTACGTGTATTTGTATACATGCACTCCTTGCAGCAAACTTATTCTCTTGCATCTCAGCATCCACTAACTACTTATACATACATCCACCTCCCATAAATATTATACGCTTAATGAGACATTTCTTATTTAACGAAGATCTTTATCCTTTATTCTGTTGCAGATCGTACAAATCAACCGCCTTCTATAACAAGCCACGTTAACTTCAAGTGATTTATATTTTCTTATTGTAAAGGAAGAAGACAAAAAAACGAGCGAAGAGAGAAAGTAATAATTAGTATGTTTATTAAGGATTAAAAGTAACGAAAAGTACAACTCTTATATCACTGCAGAAACGAGTGAGAGCTTTTTAGATTTTTTAATAAACAAAACTAAACAAAAAAAAACAAAACAAAAAAAGGAAGAAAAACTACAAAGTATATTTCTAATATTTAGTGTACAATAATTGTTCCCGAAACAAGATAATAAGTAACGAAGTAAGATTTTTAACAAAAAAAAATTATATTACTCAAACATCCGTCAGTGCCAAAATCAAGTTTGGAAAAGCAAATGTGTTTTTCATTCTAATATATTTATTGACAAAAATTGTTTTTGCACCGGATCAAAAATCACAATTTCCGCTCTGATTTTTCGCATGCTGAATACCACCAGCAATTTTATACGTATACGCACTGCGACTGTCGCCAAACCAAAGAATCTTACCATTTTTTTCCTTCCTTCTTCTTTACTCTGAATCGTTCAAATACTCGTGTGTGTAACTTTAAATACTCAACGTTTTTTTTCTCGATCCCGAGGACCAACACGAACCGTCAGCGCAGAACAGCATTAGCTGGGAAAGACCCTCTCCAGCAACGGATCTGTAATACTTTTTTCGCAGCCTAAAATTACCAAACCTGTCGAGTACAAAACAAAAAAAAAGAAGAAAATCCATAATCAAGCGAGACGCAGAGTACAATCTTCGAGTACAATCGTGTGATATATACATGCAACAAGCTCCCAGTGATAGATAATATAGCCAATAAGAATACTATCTGAAGTTATTCAAAGTGTATTTACGTGAACATTAAAGTGAAGTTAAAAAAAAAACAATCGAAACTCGAGTGCGCGAAGTTTTTTTAAATTCGTTATAATCATTGAGTGTCAAGTGTTGTCTATGTATATTTGAGAAGAGAAATAAGAGTAATAAGTGCGCTATAGGAAGAAAACAGCGAAGGAGCGAGGTGCGCGCCAGGATGGGGCGCGGAAGATGAACAACGACTTGGGCAAGGAGATCAGCCCCGTGAGCGGGGCGAGCCCCTCGCCGGTGGTGGCGAGCTCGACGGGCGACGCCTGTGGTCCTCGTCACTTGCCGACCTTCACAAGCACTTTCGTCGACACCACCACAATGGACACGTCGGCGACGAGCCTCAGCAGCATCCCGGGCCACGAGCTCTCGGGCCTGAACATGGGCCTCCACTCGTGGGAATATTTCGAAGGCCTGGGCGGCCGCCTCATCGACGCGCGGGGCGAGGTCGTCATGGCCAGTCAGTATCGGCCCTGGGAATCCAAGGGCCATCACGCCGTGCCCGCGGACGGCCTCCCCAGCTTTCAGTCGCAGTTCAGCGGTGTCGGCGGCCCGACGGACATCGGCCAGGAGCCACAGCTCACCACTCTGACGCCGCTGTCACCGGCCTCGATGTCGCACTCGCCGCCCATGTCGTTGCCGAGTTTTCACACCCTTGGCTCGGCCCCGCCGACTCATCGAGTCCCACAGCCACCGCACGGTTACCCACTGGTGCCCGCGGCGGTTCCAGCGCGCGACGTCATCCAGCAACAGATCGTCGACGAGCGCAACATCCAACTGCTGGGCACACCGTCGCCGTTGCAGCCGTTTGGCCCGCCGCCCGTCAGTCAGCATCATCCGCCTCCGCCTCCGCCACCGATCGGCGTTGGTGCCCCACCGCCACAGCATCCTATGGGAGTGGTGAAGCCCGAACCGTATCCGCAGCTTCACCACGCCAACTTCCAGAATCCGATGTCGACGGTCCTGGACTCGTCGCCGAGCACGCGGGTCGACGGTCGCAAGAAGGACCGACGGAAAGGAAATCGCGCCAGCTCGCTCGAGAGCGAGGACAGTGGCGGCCCGATCGGATCCGAGAGCTCGGGCCAGGTGGCCGCGGTGTCGAGCACGGGTCGGGGCGGTCATCACGGCCTCGGCGGTGGCATGAACGACGGTGACGACGGCGGCCTCGGCGACAAGCCCGCCAAGAAGAAGCGCAAACGTTGTGGCGAGTGCATCGGTTGCCAGCGAAAGGACAATTGCGGCGAGTGCGCACCGTGCCGCAACGACAAGAGCCACCAGATCTGCAAGATGCGACGCTGCGAGAAGCTCACCGAGAAAAAGGTCAGTTACCCACATTATATATATTGTATATATTTATTATCTCAAATGCTCATCGGCTCGAACGTATTCTATATTTGCTGCCGGGTTTCTCGAGCGTTATTCCCCCACACACTCGCACATAATAATAGCTCGTGTCTTTCTTTCTTTTGCTGCTGGACGCACCGCGCAAGGTGCATCGCCATTCTGCTGATGGCCCAATTCGTTCCGGCGTTACGTATACATCCATATAACACACACTTGTTCTCTTTCTTTCTTTTTCCTTCGGCCTCCTGAAAAGACCAATAATTAGGGGAAAGGAACCACGAGTCGTTTTGTGTACTACTCGTGGCACGTGCTATATATACATATTCAATATATACTGTGAGCTGCTCTCGCGGACAGTGTACGTTGCTCACGCAGTTATGTACAGGGCCAAGTTCGTTGGTTCGGTATACTATGGGCATCTGGCTCGCGTGACACGCGCAGCCGACTCAACGCAGTTAAAACCGCATATAGCAGAGAACTAAAATTTCGCAATGCGCTCGTATGGAGCAACGAACTTGACAGCACGCGATGGGCGAGAAAGAGAGAAAAAGACATTTGGAATTATGATTAATTTGCAGATGGTTTTTAGCAACAGTTATACAAAGTATCATTGGCCGCGATGATGATCGTTATATACATTATCATTCGTTAATAAATGTCACTCGGAGCCTGCGTAATATAGGTATATACTCGTAACACCGAAAATGAGTTTCATACATAGGTATATAGAAGCTCGGATCCAGATCGTCAGTAGCCGAGAATGAAGGGGAAGTCGCGCAGAATATAACAGGCAATATGTATAAGTATATAGAGTTACTTTGGCTGAACTTGGCCCCGATGTCGAGCGCGCGCGCGAACGTACGAACGAGAAAGAGACGGAGAGAGAGGCAATCCCGGAGGAAAGTACACGGAGAATCACAGAGCATCAGAGAGCCGAGATAAGCGAAGGGAATATACTTGTAGCTTTATTACGTTACACATTTACTCTATCAAACACACGAAAGCCTGCGCGAGCTCGAGGCGCAGTGGGTGAGCTTTTTTTTATCGAGCACTACAGAATTTTTCTAGCGTCATCATCGGCGCGCATGCTACTTTTGCATAGCTTCTTTACGCAAGCGTAAATTTTTTTGTCGTGTGCACCGATAAGATGCATATGAGAGTTCACTGCACTTTGGGTATAAAAGAAAAGACAGACCGATAAGTTGTCTTATTGTTTACGTCAGTTTAGCTGCAATATATTTTGAAATTTTTTTCTTGAAATTGCAAGCTCACTAGCTCGTCGAGCGATTAAAGAACGTTTCGCGCCAAATGGTTCAATAATTCCGTCTTGCTCGTGGCGCAAGTGATTTTGCTATTTATTTGATTTCTTTTTTAATAAAATGTCATTCGACGAGATGTTTAATTACCTTGAAATTAAAATTAGTCGCGTATACGAGCCGCGGGGAAAAAAGGAGTGTTTTTCTTGCCTGCAGAAAGAGAGAGTGAGAGAAAGAGAGAGAGACAAGAAACGAGAATTGGGAAGTAGAAAATTTTGCAGTCATTAAAAGTCTTTCGGTTGGCTTGGCATGATACTGCGGGGGTACAGGCGCGGCGCACACACATTATAAGGCAGAGCGCAATATACATGCGAAAAGAGAGCGAAAACGCTCCTGGCGCGCGTAGAGTGCGCGCACACACACACATACGCACAAGCACACCAACATCACCACTACTACTACTACCACTATACTACTACTACTCTAGCAGCAGCAGCAGTGGTGGTGGTGGCGGACAGTTAGAAGGGCTCGATTATTGATCGTAAGCTTCGGGTTGGTTGCGCTGCTGCCACTGCTACCCATACACACAAACGCACACATACTGCTATGTAGCCGACATTTTAGACTGCATGCACACGAACGGCTGCTGCTGCTGCTGACTCGTGTGCCTTGCAAAGTTCAGTGTTGAGCCGAGCAAGTTCAAGGCTCACCTTTGCTCTGTTGCTCTCTTGCGGGGCCCTGTCGTTGCTGCTGTTGCTGCTACTGATACGCGAGCATCGCAATCTCTCGGTGCACGGATTCTATCGCGAAGCGTTATTTACTTTCTTTCTCGCTCTCTTGTCGATGCATATTTCAACAATATCGCGCAATTACGTATATTTCCATTGTACGAGCTTTTTTTTCTGTTCAAACTTGAGATAACTCGAGTCGCAATTGCAATTGCTTTTTTTACGCAACGATGATTGATGCGCATGTGCATTAAAAATCGAAAAGTTCTTGAAGATCATTCGACAAATTTTCTGCGTGCTTCGTATATATTCTGTTGGCACGATTCGGGGCCCAGTTGATTTTTACGCGAACAAACAAATCAATTGTCCCAAGAGGAGCAACGAATAGTGATAAAGCACTCCGCGAGAGACATTAATATACGCATCGGCAATTTGACCTATGAGTCATCTTTCGTGAGATATCAAGAGAGATCGACAGAGACAGAAGAGTGTGTACGAGACACGGCTTAATGTCCGGACTTTTTTATTATTCGAGTACGCATTATTCTCTTTTTTTTGCGATCGGTGTTGTATGCTCGTGTGTGTTCCATATACATATTCCGCCACAATTTATCACGAAAAAAATCGATACAACAGCCTCCGCACACAATATCTCGTCGAATATGCACATGCGGCAGATGTTGCTCGCGCGCGCCTTTTAATGCGCAGAATAAATAGAAGTTAAATTAAATTTCGTGCGTCTGTGTGTATGGACGTGTGTTTGCGACAGTCGACTACAAAAGCAACTTAAATACGTCCTATTACTAATAATCAATGACACTTTCGACGTTGGCGCGCGCCGTGCTAGCTATTCGCCAGGACAGAGAGAGAGAGAGAGAGAGAGAGAGAGAGAGGAAGAAAAGAAAGTACACGTACGGTACCACAGCTGCTTTGCTAAGGCAAACATCATGCATTACCAAGCACCACCTCTCCTTTTAATTTCTTTCACATGCAAATATTTGTGAGCCATTATACGTGAGCGAGTTTTCGCGTTTGTTGAAAAAAAAATTATATAAGTTATGTATCATCTCGCAAAAACATAATAGATATGACTCGGATATGGGAAAAAATCTCAATGATGATGAATTACATTTAAAATATTCCACGCGTGTCTAGCTCGCTCCTGTTAGAGATTAAGATAGAAAAATTGGCAGCAGCGAGACATCTGGACGATTACACGCGGCACAGCGAGAAGCACAAAAAAAGGTGGAACGATAAAATCAGGATTTTTATCGCGGATCCGCTTATATTTGTCATAAATTGGGCAATTTAAATGATATCTAGCGCAAAAGAGGTAGGCCCGGAGAATTTTTCTGCTTCCCACAATCATCATAATCATGATCGCCTGCCGAATATAGGACCTGTCCGTCTCGTGCGGTAATACTAGCCCTTGCGGGCTTCCGACTCTCGTCCACCCATAAGGTATAATAGTTCGAAGAAGGGAGAAACAACTAATTCCTACAGGTCTTTTTTTTATTCTCATCATTCTTTAATCAGGGGATTTTACCATAGGCTTTTGTGTTATATAGGAACGAGTAAAAAATACGATCTTTCTCTCGGGGGTCAACGAACTCACTCGACTAGGAGGAAAAAAAATAAGAGATGCTAACCCCTGCACTATTTATGCCCTTCTCGCATGTATGCGAACTTGTTGTGCGCCTATATACGAGCATTAATCAAAAGTTAGGTATGTCGGAAGAATAGATCCAATTTGTTCGATACACGCCATACGAGCACGAACGACAATTTCCGCGAAAAACTCGAACGTCAAATGACTAAGCTTGCTCGCTTTTACGCTGGCTCGCTTTTGCCTGACTGAGAAATTTCAAGGCGAAAGACATTGACTTTCCGCCTATCTGTAAACTCCGACAAGTTGAGCACAATAACGCAACGCTCTATCTTCGCATACGAAAAGGAAAGAGAAAAAAAAGAAGAAACAATCGAACGACGATAAAATGATGCGCACAACATTATACATACATACATGTACGCAAACCACTAGAGCTGAGAGTAGTTATAACAGCGATTGCATTCTCTGCTTTATGTACTTTCTCGCGCACAGTTGATATATATTTTATAAGAGTTGTGCGCTTGGCCTGTGCTTGTCTTTTGATAACCCTGAAGATGCATCGTGACCGCTTATCATTTTCGCCAAGGCACATACATGGCACACACGACCCTTATCGCTCAACTTGCTTATTCTTCTTGGTGTTTTTTTTTTCATTTTGCGTTCTTCAAAATAGCTCGTCGACTTTTTTTTGCATGTCGTGGACTCTATATGTGTGTGTGTATGTGTGTGTGCATGTGTTTATATACATGTGTGATGTAAGCTTTATATGTATTACGCTCATCGTTCGCGTTTGCGCGCGCGCGCGAGGGCAGGTAACCATATACTCCGGGACTTTCTCGTCGACCGGGGGGATCCTCTTTCTCATCTCACTTTCATTGGCTTCCTTGCTGCTGCTGTTGCTGCTTCTATACCGATGCTACTACCTCGTTTCGATTTATCGAGAAACCGAAACCATCGTCGTCGTCGTCGTCGTCGTCGTCGACAAAGCCTTTTAAAACACGACGATCGTCCGTTTTTCTGCACGCGTATATTTTCTCACTCGCTCGCTCGCAACGAGAAGATTTCCATCTATTTGCTAAACGCGGCTACTTAGCGAGCACGAGCGGGATTTTTTTCATCATCGTTGTGCCTGGCAAAATTTTTCAGCACGGAATTATTTTATTATAGCGCGAACCCTCGAAGAAATTACTGTCGACGTATGCCGCGCCACAGCCATGAGCGGAGGAGTGTGCACCCCTGCCCGTCTATAACAGCGCCCGAACCGATCAGAACTCGTAGCAGAGCGTAAAATCTGCTTTTAGCCTCCCGCGCGTTTGCTGTACGTATCCTTTAAGCGATAGAAAGCACGCCCGTGCGTCGATCAGATTCTCTAAATATATCAAT